GCCTGGGATGGGGGTGGGGGAAGGGGCGGGCTGGAGGGGGTCGATGGGGGGAAAAAGGGGACATATGTAATATTTTCAACAATAAAGATTTTTTTTTTAAGCAGTTTTACTCAAAACAAAACTAAAGCCTTCCACTGCCCTGGCTCAGTCAATTGAGATCCATCCTTCAGTGCACCCAAAGGTCTCTAGTTCGGTTCCAGTCAGAGCACATACCCACGTTTCAGATTCATGCCCCACATGTTAATGTACCTTTTAATGTATATCCACTTATCTATCTATATAAAACCCTAATATGCAAATTGACCCAACGGTGGAATGACAGTTCACAATGACACACACTGACCACCAGGGGGCAGACACTCAATGCAGGAGCTGCCCCCAGCCAGCAGGCCCCAACTGCCGGCTGTGGGGGCGGGGCCAGTGAGCAGCGGCACCAGCCAACCAACGCAGGTGCCGCGGGTCCCCCGATGGCCCTGCAGATCGGCCCTGATCACTGGCCAGGCCTAGAGACCCTATCTGTGCATGAATTTCGTGCACTGGGCATATAGTTAATTATGAACAACTAGAGGTCTGGTGCATGAAATTCATGCACAGGGGGGCGAAGTCCCTCAGCCCGACCTGCACCCTCTCCAATCCAGGACCCCTTGGGGGATGTTCGACTGCCAGTTTAGGGCCTAAACCAGCAGTCAGACATCCCTCTCGCAATCTGGGACTGCTGGCTCCTAACCACTTGCCTGCCTGCCTGCCTGATGGCCCCTAACTGCCTCTTCTTGCCTGCCTGATGGCCCCCTAACTGGTCCCCTGTTGGCCTAGTTGCCCACTAACTGGTCCCCCACTAGCCTGATAGCCCCCTAAATGCCCCCCTGCCAGCCTGACCCCCCCCAACTGCTCCCCTGCTGGTCTGGTCACCCCCTCAGTGTCCCGAAGGTAGTTGGGCGTCCAGAAGATGTCCAGTTGACCTGGTCTAATTAGCATATTACCCTTTTATTAGTATAGATGAAATTGGGGGAGGGGACTGCTGTCCATCAACATGCAGGCGATTTCCCTTTGGAGGAGATTACAACAGAGGGAGGGGCCTATGGTAACATTTACTTAACCAGCATTCTCTAATCCCTGGGTCAACAGGGAAGCCCAGAGGACTGTTGACAGGAGCGAAGGTTGCTAGGCAGGACTCACAGATCAGTCCTGGGTCTCAAGGTGGCCACCACTACCTTCCCGGCCACTCGGACCCAGGGGAGTGCTGCTTGGGCGGGAAGGGGAATAGGGAGCTGAAAGAAGCCCCAAACAGGTTGAAAACTCAAGAA